CCTTCAGCTACAGCTTATTGAATCGGATTGAATGGCTGGCAACAGTACGATGCAAAAGACGAAGATCACTCCAACGGATCGTGGTTACACCTCAGTCTTTCGGCATTCTCTTGCGAATATTGAGATGTGCGGCGGAAAACAAGATTACCCTGGACAGGGTAAGATCTAAGCGCCTTGTTGGTCAAAGGAGACGAGACTTTCACAAGGCAGACTTCGTGAATTTCCTGAAACGATGGTTACTGTCATTGAATCTCTGAATTCAGAGCGACAAGACGATAGAGGAGACCGTGGAAGTGCTGGACTTCAAACATTCGATTCGTAAGACATGGGCATTGCTGAATATACGATCTAGCGAGCCTGCAAACGTATCCGCTGAAGTCTTTACTGCTGACCTCCTTTAGGAGTCCAAAACACCGATTGAGTGCGCGGCCCTCAGGACCGAGTGGAAAGAATATTTTCAAGCATTTAGAATTTGCCCTGGAACAAGCTCTTTGTCTGACTGATCTGCCCAATGCGCTCTAGAGGAAATACAACATGGCGCTGGCGACCACGAAGAACAGGGAAACCTTTGATTCATATGGAATTTTCCTGGGATTACTTAGCAAGTAGTGCACAAAGGGCGACAGTAGCTGGACTCCTGACTGCATGCAAAAGTCATGGCCATCCAAAAGCCCCAGGGGAGGCTAGAATGCTACATGTCCTTTAAGTTAGTGCGCCCAGTCAGGAACCGCATGGAGGGAACTTTGTTAATCAAGCTTACCTCTAAAATCAAAGCCGCCGCCTCTGTGTAGCGAGCTAGATTTCGGCATGGGCGCGGTTGCTTTAAACAACTGCTTTCGCTTACCAGCCTGATCGCAACAGGATTCCAGCGGAAGCAGTAGGGTGATATCGATCGACTTGCGGTCGGGTTGGGATACGGTTTCGTTTTGTGCAAAGTCTCTACAGTAATCATGTGTCGAACGACCTTTCGCCTTATGGCAGCCATGATTACCGGTCATCGGTACAGGGTCATCGCGGAAAGAACGTTTAATAACGGACTCCCACAAGGCGCAGCACTTTCACCATTGCTGGCTTATAAATACACCAGCGAGAGTCCACCACTGCATCAACGGCTTTACTCTTGTACAACTCAATGTTGAGTTCTGCCGTAAACGAGTACAGCTCGAAATGACGTCATAACGTATGGGTGTCACTCTTCCTTAGAACCTCGTATTCTTGGGTGCTGGTGCCCAAGTACTGCCTGCCTCAGAGGGCTACATATCCGCAGTCTAGTCTTTGAGGGATTACGCGCAATGCACCATTAGATATCTTCTAACGTGCGAATGTATTGTGACGTTTATGCGGTAGCTTGTAAGAAGTGCCAGCTGCTGAAACATCGTTCGTAACAAATGCTCGGTATTTCGAACAAGAAAAAATGATGCGAGATGCATCTGGCACTGGCGGTGACAAAATATCATGGAACCGTGGCCTGCTTAAACGGCCGTCCCCTGGGCAACGAGGAACAAGAGGGTCGTGCAATAAGCCGTGAACCCTGATCTTAGATGAGTTTTGCGTCATTTAGCATACTCCAGCCTGGGAACTCATTTTGAGGTCTATGCAGAGGTATATAAGGAATAAACGTTCATTATGAGCAAAAACGAAATGAGAGGATCTGTGAGGAGATTATGTCACAAGCGTAATATTTCGAGCGGCTACGCTGCGGAAAATTAACTTCCTTGTTGGTGTTGTCTGCCAGATGTACAGTTCCACCGTGAATCAGGTGAGCCAACGGCGAGTAGATGCAGATATTTACATAGTGTTTAAAAAGTTGACGCTTGTATGAAACTGAAACCATGAAAGGTGTCATAAATTGACTCCCATTACCATGGCTGATTTACCGGTGGACTCAGAAACAACGACGTATCAATGCTACAGATCCGGAAAATGCTGAATTCACGTCAATGAGCAGAGAAGCAGACACAAAACTGAATCAGCAAATGAAATGACTCGTTGCTCAACCGGGAAGAGAGGCGTGTAGCCACATCAAGAGGCACTAATGCCAAAACAGCGCAGGTCTTTGAGATTGTATGCTGTTCGAAATCACTGATGAGTATCACTGAGTGCCACTTAAACGTGATGCTAGCAAGCTTATTTAACTAGTCACTACTTTAAGAATAAATTTTAGAAAAAGCTCATTAACAATATACTTGAATAGTGATTAAATACTTGTGCGTGAGTTTGTTCCAGAAAAGCGGCAGAAATGCTGGTCGCTTCCGATTCTTTTGATTTATAGAAGAGTATAATATATTAGTAATATGCGCCATGAAGTTCTCACGCTAATTCATGATTTACATAGTCAAATACCCGAGTCACAGTTGACTCCTGCTAATATTTCATTTAGAATTGGTGATCTACAACCGTTCATTCATTAGAAAAACGGTAGTCGGTAGTAATAACAATTCCTTGCATTATGTCCATAGATTGTAAAACGCTGACAGGTATCGTTTATTATTCAGACAGAATTATGACGTCATATCGGTGATGACATATGAAAGGCAGACGACATTTATGACGCTTCTACCTGCAATCCGTCTACCACTTTATCAGACACGTGGTCGTTGAGCGTACATGTACGAGTCAATCAAACTGATTCCAACGTCCATAATTCATCGTTGAATAGCGATGTGGCAAGTTATCGAATTTTGACGCGTGACCTTCCAGTCTGCACTGATTGATGCATTCAACGGATAGAGGTGATTTTAGTTTGAAACGAGCTGAGCTCCAAACTTAATGGATTCACGGTTCTCTTCGAAAACGACCTTAGGCGATGACAGGAAGAGATCTTTGAAACTGTTAGAATATGAAATTAAGTTTTCAGTTCAAGAAGCTTCCCCATTTTATTATACAGTGTTATCATTTAAGTTGACCAAATATAGTCAACATCATAGGACATTTTTCGACAAAAAACACCGAAGCGAAAATTGCGATATTTTGGTCACGTAACAACGGCCGTCTTGAGAAAATAGCGCACAACAAGGTGCAGGTTGTAATGGGATGTCAAAGAAGACAGAACGTATTACATTACACGTTGGACAGCTTACAATAAATCACGCTACGCGGATTGCACAAGGGCGTCAAAAGTGACTCGAAATTTCACGCCTTGTTATCAACCTTGAGGCTGTTCACTTGCTGTTTGTGTGTGATCCTCACCTCGAGTCATTTGCATAAGTGTATTCGGTTATATGTATGTTTATATATTTCAACCCATTGCTATAAGGCACCGTTTGCGGCACTGTGGAAGTTACTTTCCAAAAAGAAATTGGCATACACCATGTTGTTCTACGTTGCAGAGTGCCTCCCGGCGGATGCTTAGACTCCCACACGAGATAATGACTCTACTTTACTAGCACCATGAATGAAGTATATTGCTTTTGTGTCTGCAAACGAGAAAATCAGTCACAGGAGGGAAAAATCTTCAGTCAAGAGAAGCAACCGCTCACCACCCACGCATAACCAGTCACCACAATCGCCCGGAAGGTTTCGAAGGCTTCCGCTTGATGACTTCAGTGAAATGTGTCGCATCAAAAAATAGGGATAAAGCAAAACTGTTGACACCATTCAACGTGCAGATTGAAATAACATTGCCTTAAGTAATGAAGGAATGACCAGTCCTTTCTTCGTTTTGACTTCATACAAAACTGTACACAGTTACTTGCAACAACAAAGAACGAGTAGAAAAGAGATGTCCCCCTCGCATAAAATAAATGTATTTGCCTTCTGCACACCTCCGTTAATAATCTGATTGTTTAAACAACCTTTTAGGCCTGTTGTTTAGGACTCTGCAGTATAATCTGACTAATTTGTTTCCCGTAACATTGGGCCCTAAGGTGTTAGGTTCACGCGGGTCCCCGTTCTTATGATGTAAATTACAGGCTGCTGTCTTTCATGTGTCCGGGATGGTTTTGTGAAGGCAGGAGTTAAAAGTTCAGTTACCGAAAGAAATCCAGGGTCTTCTTTTCTGATCATGGCGTATGTCATTTCTCTAGCCCTGGTCCAAATTTGTTCATACTGGAAAGCTTATTCCAGACACCCTTCTAATTAAAAGTCCAGCTTGCACAGAGTCGAAATTTCAGATATAGCTTTGGACACCCTTACCAATTCTGGGGGTCTGTCATAAGTGATGAGAATTACTCTATGATTTCTATGATAAGTCTATTTTCCAAATGTACTTTTCCGTGCAGCGCATCTTCGTCGCAGGGCTATCAGCCAAGAGTGTTCATTTTCATGAATTCAGGTCCCACGGTTTGGTCGCAACTCCAGCATGCAATAGTGCTTATTTATCTGCATGGAAAGATGATAGGAGAGTCTAGCAGGATTCGAACTGATTGTCTTTCCACGATTCACCGACACTGTACTCATCGAGCAACCATGAGTACATATAGGAATATTAGAAATTAAGGTTTCTCACATTCTCGACATGGTCCGGAATACTGACATCTGGGAGAGTCATGGTGCACAGAGATTGAGAGGTCACAGCTGCAATGGTTTGGGCATGTGTTGGAATACCTCCAGAAAGGAAAGCTAAGCAACTGTTCCCTGCAAATCCGACCGGCAAAAGGCCCAGGGAACGGCCAAGATTAACCTGGTGCAAACATATGAAAGGAGTCTGTTCCAGACTCCAGTTGCTTTTTGCTGAAGCTCAGACTCTGGCACAGGATCGGGAACGTTGGGAGTTCTGTCTGACTTGACGGGAGAAGCGGCGATGAAAGATGAACATGAAGGTTCCTCACAGCAATGGGATTTGGAGTCATTCAGAAAAAACAGCTACAAGAGAGAGACGGACCCGTATACGGATTTGTCACACAATTTATTGCAGTGTATCGGACTGCTGACATCTCCAAGCCTGTAAACGTGGGAAAACAGGTGAAATCTGAGACTTGTGCAAAGATGAGGGAAAGTTCGTCTCGAGGTGTCGAAAACGGCTGCTGAATTGATGAAATACGCCTGGTGTTACGATGTGCCATCAGAAACCAAGCGACAGGCAATAAATCATCGGACAACGTTAAGACAGCTGCTGTTGGGAGGAAGACACATCGTACGAAAATGGGACCATAGCACATTTTCTTGAAACAAGGTGGAAGGGCTTGACTGCCTATAGCAACACACTAGCGGAAAAATTGTTCACTGCAATTGTTCTAAGGAGTGGCAAAATTTTAGCTGAGGCAAACGACGTGGTTCGACTGAAAGGTCAAAGATGTAAACAATTAAAAAACGTTTTCATGTGATGGCGTTGAAGCCCCCTTTGCAAATATGAAAATAAAATACTCATTTGTTACAATGTTTATCAATGATTAGCTAAAAAGTTAACCCATTCATACGAGCTGTCAAGTAAACAAACGTGGGAAACTAAATGGCCAGATGAGCCTTGCCTTCAGTAACAAGTTCGATCTGGTCTTGCAGAATTCATGGCGCATTATTTTCCCAAAACTTGAAAAAAATGTTAGTACTACACTGATTGCGAACGTGCGTGTTATTGGACCAACTTTAAAGTATGTATTCTCCTTAGCGAGCTCTGTTGTTTGACAAGCATAATGAATGCTATTACGTTGAATGTTTACGACGCGCATTAGCTGTCAGTGCAACTGCAGAAATCCCTTGTAGATTAATAGCAGCTAATGAGGAATATAAAGACAGAAACAAGGCGCTTTATGGCCTAGTAATAGCCGTTTTATGGCAGATGACATGTTTCCCTAAAATACAGCAATCCGTCGCCGATAATCGCCTCAGCTGTTTGCAATCATTGTTCCCTGGTGTCCCGTTTCCCGGTCTGTTTCCCATTGACGTCCCAACATGACGATATTTGCGCTAAACGCCATCATCTTAATATCCAGCAAATGACTACGTATTTTGCACGTCAATCTAGCAAATAAACAAAGATCGCCAAATAAAATTTTTCCATATAAGCTTAGGTAG